CCCCCTCCTTCCCCCTCTTTCTTCTCCTTCCCTCTCCCCTCCCTCCTCCCCCTCCTGCTCCTCCTTCTCGGAGTGTCAGGTTTCCTGCGTGACTGAACCGGGGAACTGGGGGGTCACACTTAGAAACCCTGCCATCACACACGGGCTTAGCTCACCCCACACGTGCTCACACGTGTGTGGCTAAGTCATTCTGATACCACTGCACTTTTCAGGTTTCCAAAGGGGCCCAGCCCTGGCCGGGGAGAAGAAATTCTGTGGGTCTAGGCAGATTTCTTGATTACAGGCAAAGCCACAAACCCGCGAACTCCTTCCCAGGCCCACAGACAGGGGCCGAGCGCGAGCAGAAAGCCCGGGGATCCTCTGGAACCTCTCACTGAGGAGTGGCGGAGGGCAGCGGCTGAGGACAGACCCCTGCTCCTTCCCCCAGCCCCTCGGCACCTCTGCCCTGCGCCCAGGACCCACAGAAAGAAGCCCAGGACCACCTGTCGAAGGCAGATTTGGGCTCCCAGATGCAAGGAGGTCACCTTCCAAGAAAAAGATGGAGTGAAGGGCCTGATTAGAGCGTTCGCAGCAAGAAAAGATACCAGCTCGTTAAAGCAGAAAGAAGTGGTTAGTTCCAGAAGTGAGTGGTTCTCATCAGCAAAGGCAGAAAGTAGGGCTCTGGGTGTTTTATGGGTAAAGGGAGGCAGGAGGAAAGGAGACCCTCGAAGACTCCCTGTCCGAGTTAGAACACCCCAGTCCCCACTGAACCTGTTAGCTCTTCAGACAGAAAGGAGGGGAGAAGGTGGGCCTCAGTGTGAAGGAAGGAGCCCAGCCCCTTCCCAGACTCCAGGCTGGGGTCCCACATCTGTGCAAGCTGGAGGCGCTCTGGAACCTTCCAGGCTTCTCTTCCCCTTCTCCCACACCGAGGGCCGTGTGCTTTCCCTCTCTGGAACGTTTAACATTTTGACACTGAGACAGCTCCCAACGTAGACCAGGAGTGATAAGAGGGCGAGTAGCCATGTGAGGAATTTTATCCAGATGATCTCCGTTTTACTACAGAACATGGGAGTAACACCGGACGGGGGCGGGGGGGCGGGGGTGACGGTCCCGGGCGCCGCCTTAAAACGTTGCCTTCCACACTGATCAAGAAAGGACATCAAAACAGCTTGAGAAGGGAGGGGGAGGGGGTAAGAGGGGACTGTGACAAGGGAGGGGGTCAAAGGCCAAGTTGAGGTGTGGAGGGAAGGAAATCTTTCAGCTGTGCACCTGACCCAGCATTTATGTATTAGTGATAGTTTCATACAGGGTTCCCCTGGGGTTTATTGCCCTCTAGGGGGTCCGTAAATGGACACGAGTCCGTCTGGGCATCTCCTGGTGTTTCATGACGCTTTTATATACATGCATGTAGGGATATTTCATGAGTGAGGGATTGGGAATGGGGGCAAGAGAAAGTCCACATCTGTCCATAGATTCTTCCAAGAATCTTGACCTAACAAGATTAGGAAGGACTGCTTTTTAAAAACTTAACAGCTTTATTGAGGTAGAACTCATATACCATATAACTCGTTCACTTAGAGTTTATATTTCGGTGGTTTTTAGTATGTGGACAGAGTTGTGCGACCATCACCCCATCACTTTCAGACATTTCCATCCCCGATCCCCCAAAAAACCTGCCATGCCCATTAGCATTCATTCCAATTTTCTCCCAAACACCCTCAGCACTAAGCAACTAAGAATCTTTCTGTTTCTCTGGATTTGCCTATTCTGGGCATTTCATGTAAGTGGAATACACCATGTTGTCTCTTGCCTTTGGCTTCATTTAGGACAACAGGTTCAGGGTTCATCTGTGCTATCCTGTGAATTGATGCATCATTCCTTTTTATGGCTGAATATTATTCCGTTGTATTGATATACCACATTTTACATAGCCAGTCATCAGTTGATGGACATTTGGGTTGTTTCTAGTTTTTGGCTACTATGAATGATGCTGCTATGAACATTTGTGGACAAGGGTTTCTGTGGACGTAGGTTGTCCACTCTCTTGGGTTATACTCCCCAGGGGTGGAATTGTTGGTTCATACGGTAACTCTGTTTCTCCTTTTTAGGAAGTGCCTAGCTGTTTGGAACGACTGCATATTGAGGTACTCTAGGGGCACGCACTTTCATTTCAAGGATTAACAGCAAATTCGCAAAAAGGAAGGCCAGCTGGGAAGGAAGAGTCTGAAGAAAAACCAGGATCTTATGAAACAGTGACCCAGGAACACAGCTGGAGATGGACAAACACAACACCCAATTACGGGCTGTCCGGGCTCCGGGGAAGGAGGCTGGACCATGAGGTAGGGACCAGGCAGCCACCCAGCCCTACACGTAATTCCCTTGGCAGCCCCCACATGTGCCATCCATCCTCGCCACGCTCTACGCTCACAGCTGGGCTTCAATACCCTCCCGCCAGTCAACAAACAGTGGCGTCATTGAGTGCCTTCTGTATGCCAAACACACAGAAGCAAAAGCGACAGATTAGCAAACAATTGGTGTGGGTTCCACCTCTTAGGGCTCATGGTCT